GGTTTGTTTTGTTGCAATTCAGGGAAGCCATTGGAAGTACATGGTTTGTGGAATCCTCCTTTCCATTTAGATGATATGGGTGATTTGGGCGTACCAACACTCACCAATAAATAAATTGGTTGTTACCGTTAAATGTACAAATTTTCTTCCAAACCCCATTTGAATTGAAGGACTTTCATCCCATTTGAAGCTGTTTTCATTATTATTTTAGACCAATTTTCTGGGTTTGTATCACTTTTATGCCTTTCTTCAAAATCTCCATCCAATCATATCTCATTTTCCTTCTCTAAACTCCATGAAATCACTAATTTTACAACAACTAGTTCAATAATGGGTCAAAGTGGACAATATCTGTTAACGGTGGATTTGAGCTATTACAAATGGTATTAGAGCTAGACACAAAACTGTATGCTAGCGAGAACGCTGGCTCCCCGAAACATTCCTTATAAAGGTGTGGGAACCTCTTCCTAACAGGTGCGTTTTAAAATCATGAGGTTGATGGCGATACGTAATAGGCCAAAGTGAACTATATCTGTTAGCGGTGGACTTGAGCTATTATAAATGGTATAAAAACCAAATGCCAAGTGGTGTGCAAGCGAGGATGTTGAGCCCCCAAGGGGGTGGATTGTGAGATTCCAAATTGGCTGGAAAGGGAAACGAAACATTCCTTATAAAGGTGTGGAAACCTCTCCTTAATGAGTGCGTTTTAACCTGTGAGCCTGACGGCGATACGTAATAGGCCAAAACGAACTATATCTGTTAGCGGTAGACTTGAGCTGTTACAAATGGTATCAAAACCAGATGCCAAGTGGTGTGCCATTGAGGATGTTGAGCCTCCAAGGGGGTGGATTGTGGGATCTTAAATTGGTTGGAGAGGGAAACTAAACATTCCTTATAAGGGTGTATGTTGAGCCTCCAAGGGGGTGGATTGTGGGATCTCAAATTGGTTGGAGAGGGAAACGAAACATTCCTTATAAGGGTGTGAAAACCTCTACTTACCAGACATTTTAAAACTGTGAGGCTGACAACGATACATAACGGGCCAAAACTAGTGGGCATGGACGGTTACAATTAGTCATTGTAAATTACTATGTCATTGAACTACGATTAATGATATGAGATGAGACAATAAAATTATGCTATTGGGTGTGGGAACCATTAGAGAATCTCTATCCCTTAGTCGTGAACTTGTTCGAATAAGGACAACAGTTCACATCGAGATATACAAGGGAGTTTGTTAATATCTAATGGTATACACCATGAGTACTATATGGGAGTTCGTTAATTAATATCTACTAGTACATACTACCACTCCTACATGGGAGCTATTAATATCAAGCGGTACATGTTATGAGTGATAGTTAATCTCTAATAGTTTATGTTATGAGTTATGAATTTCCACATCGGTTAGAAAGAGAAACAAAACATTCTTTATAAGGGTGTGAAAACTTCTCCCTAGCAGACACGTTTTAAAACAATGAAGCTAACAGTAATACGTAACGGAGCAAAACAGACAATATCTTATTAGCGATAAACTTAGGTCAGAGCTGTTACATGAGTACTATAGGAGAGTGGTTAATTAATCTCAAGAAATCTATATATAATATATATACATTTTATTTTCTTATTAAATTTATTTTGCACTATATCTAAAAAAAATTTAAAGATATTTTGTAAAATTTATTATCATTTTATTATTTTCATATTTAAAAAAAAAAAAGTTACGAAGTCGTTGTTTAGCCGTTGGTTTTGGCATATCCTGCGCTACAATATTGCCCCAATCACGGAATCCATTTAATATCTATATCTATATATATATATATATTGAATTGTTTTATGTATTTAAATATATATGATTTTCGGAATTTCGAGCTTACGTGGATTTTTACTGCAACTTAGCTTAGATTATGTATAGTAACGTTGGATTAAGTTTCAAATATCTCTATATTATTTTTATTATTAATAGGATAAAATATGTGAAAGTAAAAAATTAAACAATAAATTAATACCTTACATAGCTCAAAATTTCTATATTTTAAATTTATAAATGAAGCAAATTCGCCTAAAAATGGCATACATTAGATTATTTGCTATTGATAAAAAAAAAATTGAAGTAGGATAGTGCAAGTTATGAACTTATAAACAATTTGTAAAGATTTTGAGACTCGAGTAAATATAACACATTTTTTTTTATTATAAAGTTTCATCCGCAACAAAATCGTGACAATTGATGTATAAAATTATTATGAAATCAAAACTTAATTTTGAGAATCTTGGAATCTTACCAACTCTCTAATGGGATTGTGACCAACCCTAAAAGAGATAATGGGTGAATAATTGTATATGCTAAAACCAATAGCTTAGCCTTTTCAACATTATTCAATGTCACAATTGTGGTAGAAAATTCTTTCAAACCCTAAAAACTTGAGTTTATAAACCCTTTGTAATGACTCATACCCACGACTGCCCAATATTGTCCTCTTTGGACTTCCCCTCAAAGCTTTAAAACGCATCTGTTAGGAGAAGGTTTTCACGCCCTTATAAAGAGTGTTTTGTTTTCCTCCCCAACCATGGACATCACACTTTCTAAAGCATAACAATTTTTTAATGATCTAAGACTGCAGCTTCGAAAATGATGGAGAAAAATTTGTTTTATATATTGTTTCTTTAAAAAATATGTGTGATCTCACATCGGTTGGAGAGGAGAAAGAAGTATTTCTTATAAGTGGTGTGGAAACCTCTACGTAGCATACACGTTATAAAACTTTGAGGGGAAAACCCAAAAAGGATAATATTTGCTAGCGGTGAGCTTGGACTGTGAGATCTCACATCGATTGAAGAGGAGAACGAAACATTCCTTATTAGGGGTATGGAAACCTCTCCCTAGCACTCACATTTTAAAACTGTGAGGGAAAATCAAAAGAGAACTGGAGAACAATATCTCCTAACAGTGGCCTTGAATTAATACGGAATATTACAAGATCAAAATCAAAACTTCGAGGGGAAGTCTGAAAGGGAAAGTCCAAAGAGGACAATATCTCCCTGTAGTGAGCTTAAACTGTTACAAAATGTTACAAGATCAAAATCAAAACCTCCAGGGGAAGTCAGAAATAGAAAGTCAAAAGAGAACAATATCTTCTAGCGGTGGATTTGAACGTCCGAAAGGAAAAGTTCAAAGAGGACAATAACTCCTAACGGCGGATAGTAATAGGCTTGAACTATTACAAAATATTACAATATCAAAATCGTGTGGGAAGAATTTGTTGAAACCATACACACAAAAGCTAATTAGGGTTTTTGAAAGTGGTATGAAAGGAACCAATGGGAAGAAATGATGATGATTGAACATGAAGCAGTGTGGGGAGTCAAGGGTAGGAAACAAAACAACATTATTTGTTAAAAAAAGCAGACAGACAACTGTGGAATGAATTATGGTACTTTTAGTCAGACAAATATAAGAACACATTAGCTTAGTTCCTTTGACCTTCCAAAGAGATATGTCTTAAACTCAGTCTCGCACCACATGTGCACTCATAAACATTAGGCGGCTTCACCTGCAACACTTTCACCAACCACAAACAACTAACCTTTACCTTTAACCTTCCATTGCCATGGATATCATCCTTTTTTTGGCTTCATTGCCTATTATTGTTCTTGCTCTTATTGGCATCGTGGGAGTTGGTTAGCCACAATTATTTAGTTTCATAACCCTTTCGCATAAGTTGATGTTCCTTACTTATATACCGTTGATCTTTCTTTTATTTAGCTAACGTATGACTCTAAAAATCACAATATGAGCAAATTACAACAAGGGGCAGTATAGGAATATTCACATGTACTCCAACGACTACATCTTTTGACCTGAACTTAGGCTTTGACTCATCCTCTGAGGACAAATCTTGCAGAGAAACCCTTATGTTTTTGGGTTATTGGATTCTCACCAATGTTTGCGTTACTCAAGTCAGCATTTTTCGTGTCTTTTTCTTTTTGTACAGCCGGAGCTAGATGTCAAAACAACTTGTTATGTATGCCCAAACTCCAAGTTTTTTCTCTTCTTTCTTCTTGAGTTTAGTGGAAAACAATCATCCAAGATTGCTAGATCGAGCACACAACACACATAATCTGAAGTTCAAGAGCGAGTTGTCTCCTCTTCAACATTTCGACTACTACTTACATGAAGCTTTTGAAAACGCAGTGCACCTAGGTAAAGGGGTAACGTCAAAACCCTAGTTATGAAATAATTATAATCTAACCCCAAATCCAGTTTCTTACACTTCCCCATTTGTCAAAATGGAAGACCAAATATGAGCAAGTTTCAACATATACACAAAAAATGAAAAAGTTAGTGCCTTTATGTTCTCTAAAGTCCAAAGAAACAAAATAGGTCATACCCTAATTTGGAGAGATTTCATGATGGGAAAAGCTTGAGGTCAAATTGCTAATCCCAATAAAGTTCTAAACTATCTAGCTGTAACCCTTAAGAAGCACTTACACATCATAGCACCCAATTAACACACAAAGACACTCATATATAATAATCAGTTCAAAATCAACAAAAAAAAAAAAAAAAAAAAAAAAAAAAAAAAAAAAAAAAAAAAAAAAAAAAAAAAAAAAAAAAAAAAAAAAAAAAAA